CTACGAACACAATCTTGAGTTACGAACATGATTAAGCAAAATTGAAATAACTTTACTAATCAACCAGAGAATTAAAAAAAAAACCGAAAATTTATATTTAAATAAGAACGATCCAGCAAACATCAAAATTTCTGAAACAACTGCAAACAAAAAGGAATTCAAATTAATTAATTAATTTAAAAAAAGAAGAAGCAAAAGCCGATTCCAACAAATTTTGGGGAAGAGAGGGGGAAATACCGGTGCGAAAGAGATCGGAGGGAGAATAAGTAATCGGGTTGGTGGAATTGGGTTGACCCGTTTTCTTGGATGCAGAGCGACGCATCATAAACAAAACAATCGAAGCTTCGTCGCTCAACGAAAAAAGAACATAAATAAAATAAAATAAAAGGCTTAATACTACGCCTACTGCCAATTTGCCTTTTATTTATGTTTTTCCTCCGTCTGCCTCTCCCATCCTATCTATTTATACACCTAGCAATAAAATATTTTTATTTATTTTCGGCTACTAATAAAATATTTATTTACTAGCACTAATTAATTATTTTTTGTATTAAAAAACAAAAAGAAACTGAATTTCTTTGGTTTGTTTCTGATTTGGTTTGGGTTTATTAAGGATTTGGAGGCACAGTGTTGAATGAAATGAAACGAAATCTAAGTACTCCTTCCGTCGTGTTTCCATAATTTTCTTCTTTTATTTTTTAATTTTTTTAAAAAAGGAAATTACTTTTTGACTTTTCCTTTTAAAGGAGGTCCGCCACTTGTCATTTGTTCAGTGCCTTTTGGCCTTTGGCTGACGGCCGTCTTTTTCTTTTTCTTTTTCACTTTCACTTGGACATCTTTTTTTTATTCTTGTATTTTATTGTATTTTAAAAAATTATGATTATAGATTACAATTAAATTTTTATATTTTTATTTTAAATTAAATAAATTTTTATAATTAATAATTAATTAATTATTATTAATTAAAACATTACTTATAATTATATATTTACGTGAATTTAATGTAAAATGTAAAAATTTAACATAATCATATCATTATATCACGTTAATGTCACGTTATATAAAATAATAAATAATATTTTAATTTATTTAATTTTAAGTAAAAATATAAAAGTTTAATTAAATATAAAAAATAAAAATTTATTTATTTTTTTATAAATAATTTAATTTTTTTAAAATATTAAATCTTTAATAAAATAAAAATATAAATATTTAATTAAACGTAATAAAAAATAAATAATTCAAAAACTTTTTTTTTTAATATTATACTTGTTAAAGATTTAGAAAAAGCTCACACATTCATTAATGGTGCTTAATGGCCTTAAATACAAGAAAGAAAACTACATGAATGTGTAGTTAATGGTGCCTACATGATCACATTACAGTTAATTGTAAGTTAATGGTACAATTTCACAAACTAGAAATATCCATTTATCCATGAACTCCATATATATGAAAAAATAAAATTACCTATGAGTAATAGTCAATATGGTTACAAAACAAAACAAATTAACTGTTAGCAACTCTCTAAACTTGACCTCAACTTCAACAAACTTCTTTGAGGTTGAGCTTGGTTAGCTTACAAAGCATCTTTACAGGTTTGTGTTTCAACAAGCTTAATCATGAACAACGCCTCATTATAGTCTTCTTTCTCCTTAACGATTGCCGCCTTTTCTTCATTGCATATACCTCTATTTTTGTAAACCTTCTTAACGTGCCTCATTTGATTGCAATATCGACATTTCACATTAGGATGAAACCAACAAAATTTGCCTATATGATTTTGTTTTTTGCAATTCAAGCATGCTTGAAACTTAGCCTTAGCTTTCCATTGTTTTCCATCACAATCATTCTCCTTGTTTTGGTCATTCCTCTTTTAACTATTGCCCACTTCTTTGTCTCAACTCTTAACCATCAAAGCACCCTCCACATACCTCCACATGTTCATCATTTCGCATGGTTTGTCTTTGTTCTTCAGCTTGGAGGGCGTTCACAAGCTCAATAGTTGTCAATTGAGCAATGTCTTTAAAGTCTTCAAGTGAAGATATCTTAACCTCTAATTTTTCAAGGAAACTTACCAGAATCTTGTTTATAATACTGTGTTTAGTTAAATTTTTTTGAAGCAATCTAAGTGATTGACCAACTTTATAATCTTGTCAAAGTATTCTTTAATATTCTCTTCATCATTCATCCTCAACATTTCAAACTCTCTATGGAGATTCAACGCTTGCATTTGATGGGTCCTTTTGCTGCCATGAAACTCCTCTTTCAGACGATCTTAAAGATCCTTAAGCAATTCACAAGTCTTTATTCTTATGAAAATAACATCTAACACAAGGAAAAAGGATACAAGAGAGAATCTTAAATCTTTTTACCACTTCTTCATTGTATTACTTTATTTACACCATTGTGACGTTGGGTCTCTATTTTAGTGACTCACCTCCCACGTCCACAACCTTCCATAAATCAAAAGGTCTAAGATATGCCTTCATCTCTTTTTTTAAAAGTCAAGCTATGCCTTCATCTTCACAACTCGAATGTCATAATTTTCTCTTGTAAATACAAGCAGAGCAACGACATCAAATTTTGAGAAAGCCATGGTTATGGTGTTTTATTTTAAAAGCTTGAGAATGAAGAAAAATATTGGTAATTTTTTACTTTCTTGATCCATTAAGATCTTTTAACTTGGCTCTAATGCCATATTAAAGTTTTAAAAAAGGCTCACACATTCATTAATGGTGCCTAACGGCCTTAAATACAAGAAAAAGAAAACTACCCCTTAATACATAAAAGATAGATAAATAAAATTGAAAATAATGACCACGTTACACTTAATTGTTAGTTCATGGTACAATTTTATAAACTAAAAATAACCACTAGTCCATGAACTCTAAATACATGAATAAAAGAAAAAAATCTAAAAGTAGTGGCCTTACTTGGTCACAAAACAAAATAAATTAACTGTCAACTACTTTTCAAGTTTATCCATAACTTCAATAATACTTTTAACAAATCTGCATATATTAAAAGTTGTCTCAAGGAAAGGACAATTGAGGGGCTAATTGCTAGCCACGTGACATGGTTAATTGAATCTTTGGAACATGCTTGTTATTTTTGAAGAAGTTAAGATTTTATTTTTCATTTTATCTCTTTTTAGTATTTTTGTCTTTTCTTTAGGATAGATTTTGCTTATTCCTTTACTTTTTCTATCTTTGTTTTCTCTGACTTTTTGTTATTTTCAAGTTTTTGGTTCTTTTTTCTTCCTTTTTCCTCACCTTGCTCATTCCGTCCATAAACCGGTCAGCCTCCAAACCAACGACGCCTCCTTTTGCTTCAATAGTTGTTATTTCGTAGCACAACTAGCTCAATCCACTCGCTCCCTTTGCTGACCCACCATATTTATTCAAACTTCCCTTCTCTTCCCCTTGCTCTTCTTCCTACATCATCATTTTCTTTCCTTTTGATCGATTGTACCATTGTTCTTTATTTCTTTTGTTAACAATATGATGGCAAGAAGGCTTTTCAACAAAAAATATGAACCTCCTAAGGATTAAATTCCTCAAGTAGCATAAACAATTTTATTTTTAAAGGTTGTGAATTTTTTCTTTTTCTCTTTGCTTTGAATCGATTTTTGTGTTAATTGTTAGCAAAACTGATAAACAAAAAAAAAAATAAAGTAAGTAAATATAGGAAAATGTCTGAGACATGATTTTACTATTCTTAAGGATAATTTTTTTTTTAGAGTACGAAACTTGGTGCAAAAGGACTGTAGTGGTTATCCTCTAGGATTTAACAGACCATTCCTTATTAGTTTGTACAAACTAGTAAAATATAGTAAAAATAACAGAAAGACTTTTTCGGAGGAAAAACAAACTCAATAGGAAAGTAAGAAAAATAGATAAAATATGTAGAAAAGCAAAAGGACTGTAGTGGTTATCCTTTGGAATTTAACAGACCATTCCTTATTAGTTTGTACAAACTAGTAAAAGATAGTAAAAATAACAAAAAGACTTTTTCGGAGGAAAAACAAACTCAATAGGAAAGTAAGAAAAATAGATAAAATATGTAAAAAAGCTTTAAAGGAGATGAGAGAACTGGAATTGTTTAGCTAAGGTACAAAAAGTTTACTTAAGCCTAACCCATATGTATATTCAAGTGCAAGATGAGAAATATGAATTTCTCAAGGCCTGGCTTGATCTCGTGTGTGCCTAAGTCCACTGTTTTTTCCTTCCTTGCAACAAACCTATAATGGGTTTACTTATTTAAAGCAATTACATCTTTATATACCTTAGTAATGTGGAATGTTTAAACTTTATGAAATATATTATTTTTTCAACAATCTCTCAAATATTTCGTAAGGTTTCATAAGAAGTTTTGTTAGATCAAATTTCATTGAAGTGTGATGAATCGTGATGAACTAGCCTTAGAGAGAATGAAAAAAAATCACGAAATTTTGATGAAGTTGTAACTTCTGTGAACCAAAAATTCTTTGTGTGAGATATGATTTCCATCAACTACATTACGTCCCCATAATTTTTATTGTTCAACTTAGTTTTGCCCAAATAAACCATGCGCGTGCCTAGTTATTCATAAATGCTTTAGAGAATTTATCACAATTTTCATAGGAGTGGCTCCATTCCACACTTATATATGTGATTCTATCAATTGTATACTACAATTTAATACACTACTCATAAAGAATATGGAAATCGTTAAGAATTTAAATCAATCTCTCTTGCTTTATAGTTTGCGCTATTCACACACCATATGAGGGATAACAATTTTAATAGTGCATTAATTTATTAACAAATAACTTGTTATTACCTATATAAACCTACGTCATAAGATCTCCAATCATATAGGTTGAGTTACTATTATTTGTTTATTTCCTCAATTGGCTTAAATCCATTCCCCTCAATGTATTATTAATCAATTTTCTTCCCAGGGGTTTAATTAAAGGATCGACCAAATTCAGCTTTAACTTCACATAATTAATGGAAATAATTCCATCTCTAAACAACTATTTTATTATATCACGTCTCAAACGAATGTGTCTATTTCTATCCTTGAAAGTTTTATTCTTTACAATGGCTATTGCCATTTGGCAATTACATAGACACAAAAGGTGTTGGTTAATTTCTAACAAAATATCAGATAAAAGATTTCTTAACCACTCCACCTCATTGTTAGCCAACTCTAAAGCTACAAATTTTGACTTCATTGTAGATTTAACAATTATTGTTTGTTTGGTTGATTTCCTAGCATCCCCGCCAAAGGTGGATACATAACCATTTGTGGATTTGGTTTCATTTAAATTTGAGATCTAGTTATCATCACTATACTTTTCAAATGCAGCGAAAAATCCATTATATACAATACTATAGTTTATGATACCTCTCAAGTATTTCATTGCTCTGCTCAAAGCAGTCCAATAATCTTATTGGAACTGTGCGTATATCTACTCAGTCTACACATAACATAAGTTATATCAGGTTGAGTATAATTCATCAAATACATTAGATTCCCAATAATTTAAGCATACACTGTCATTTTAATTTTTCTTTAATCGAAGACTACTATCATAAAGAGTACTCATAAGTGTGACAT